ATATATATATATATATATATATATATATATATATATATATATATATATATATATATATATACTTATATATCTATATATATATGTATATATATAGATATATAGATATATAGGTATATTTATATATATATATGCATATTTATTATTTATGTCTAAAAATATGTGTATAAATATATATATATATATTTATTTATTTATGTCTGTATATCTATTGACCTCTATATATATATATGTATATGTTTGTATCCATGTATATATATGTTTATGTCTATATAGATATACATCCTTATTTGTGTCTATATATACATATTTGTAAATATATATTTATTAATCGTATGTATTGGTTGTATACCGTATATACATATATATATATATGTATATATATATATATATATATATATATATATATATATATATATATATATATATATATATATATATATATATTGCATGCATATATATATGCATTATGTGAATTAGAGGAGAAATATAAATTTTATGTACAAATAAAATTTATAAACAAAAGAAGGGAATGGCGCATGCACACAGTGCGCCGGGGTGTACGTACAGCGGCGGGAGTTTGGAGGATGTCTAAAAAGGTCATTTTTTGGCGAATTTTAGTTTTATTTGTTGCAAATTTTGGCACTTTTGTATTATTTTAACAATATTAAATGCATTTAATCCATTTAATGGATTATTTATTTGTTTTTTCCCGCATTTGGTCGACAGCTTTGCTGCGCCGCCAGCAGCAATGGCCCCAGAGGCACTTGCAGCGAAAAGGGTTCATTCAGAATGAAATAAAATTGGAGTTTTAATTTAATTCCAGAAAAAGAAATAAAAGAACTTTCTTTTAAAATGATTATTCATTTCTTTCAAATAAAAAGAAAACGACAAATGACAAATTGACTAAAAGTTTGGTTTTCGTTTGACGACGCGAGGTGTACGTACACCTCAGCAGCTCCGGAATAAACATAAAATTCACTACTAGTTCGACAGCTGCAAATGCAGCAGCAGCAGCAGCGTCTGCTGCTGCTGCTGCTGCTGCTGTCGTGTACCTGCGGAGCTTTCTACTGGACCTGCTGCTGCTTTCATGCTGCCTGCTGCTCTTGCTGCTGCTGCTGCTTTAACTAATTCGAGCTTGCTGCTGTACCTTATACAGAACCTGCTGCTGTTAGATTCGCTGCTGCAGCTGTACCGGCCCCTGCAGCAGCAGCAGAGCAGCAGCAGCAGCAGCAAGACTCTCATCTGCTGCTGTTCTGGCGGCGAGAGAAAACATTAAAGCTGGCGATGGGGCGGGGCTGCGGCAGCTCGCTGTAGGCTGCAGGTGCTGCTGCTGCTGCTGCTGCTTCTGCTGCTGCAGCAGGGGCCTCTAGGGCCTGCAAGTTGGCGCAAGACAAGCAGCAAAATAGTAGATGGAGCTGTACAGACACTTCAAATCAGGCAGCAAGCTGCAGCAAAGTCACATAATCCAATAGGACTAACAGGCCAGCAGCAGCAGCAGCAGCAGCACAGCCAACAGCAGCAGCAGCAGCACCGACTCAGCAGCAGCACGAACGGCGAGAACGCAGCAGCGACTTCAACACAAGCAACAGCAACAGCAGCAGCGCGGCACACGTTCATCTCCACAGGCTCTGTGCTCAACAGCAGCAGCAGCAGCAGCAGCAGCAACAGCAGCAGCAGCAACAGCAGCAGCAGCAGCAGCAGCAGCGGACTTCAGCAGGGTCTGCGTAGCTGACGCTGGACTGCAGCGCAGCAAAGAAGGCCTCATTTGTTGGCCTCGAATGCATGCGGGTCCATTCCGAATTTGAAAAGCCCCAAATCTCTTTCGAACTCCCCACAGCAATCCAGGGGCTGCGCGGGGCCCGCGGAGCAGCAGCAGCAGCAGCAGCAGCAGCAGCAGCAGCAGCAGCAGCAGCAGCGCTTTGCTGCGCCTCCGGCCCGCTGCGCACGCACGGCGGCATGCACGCCTGCACAGCAGCAGCAGCAGCAGCAGCGGGGGTGGCGGCGCCGCGGGGAGAGGGGGACTGCAGCAGCAGCAAAGGCAGCAGCAAACACAGCAGCAGCAGCAGCAGCAGCAGCAGCAGCAAGTCGCTTACTTTGAAGCACGCCCAGGTGGAAGATGCTATAGTTGCTGCTCCATTAATTATGCCTTCTTTGTGTTTGTGCAGCAGCGCGAGAGCAGCAGCACCAGCAGCAAGAAGAGTCTCCAGCAGCAAGCGGGTGGTGGGCCAGCCTGAAACAGCAGCAGCAGCAGCAGCAGCAGCAGCAGCAGCAGCAGCGGAGGACTGTGGGCTTGTCTTGGCGCCGTTGCTGCTGCTGCAGTTTACGCGCTGCCGCACTGAGACCCACCTGCTGCTGCTGGGCACAAGCAGCAGCAGCAGCAAAACAAGCAGCAGCAGCAGCAAAACGATCAGCAACAGCAGCAAATCAAGCAGCAGCAGCAGCAGCAGCAGCAGCAGCAGCAGCAGCTCACAACCCTCAGCAGCATCGCTGCAGCAGGAGA